GCTTAAAGCTATCAGTAGAAGTACCTGCGTCCACACTGTCCGGATTTTGCCAAGATTTTTGCCAAAGTCACTTTTTTTATTAAATATTTTACTCAATTTTGATATTGCAGACAATTTTTTTTGTCATAGATTGTTCTTTCAATTTTTCGCGCGAAATATACCTATTGCAAACATATACCTAACATATTTAAAGATAATATTTAATGCTTAACATACAGAAAATACTCGAAAATAATATGTATTTGTTTTCGAACATAAAAATCTTGACAAAGTTTAGTCAGTGTTGACCGATAGATAATAAATTCGAATTTCAATATATAACTTTATTCTTCATTCATAATAGGTACTTTCGGCAAATTTTAAGTGTACCAACAGCAAGTTTTTTTGATTGATAATTAAATGATTTAATGAAATAAAATGATTTGTTCCAAAAAATAAGAAGACAATTAGAAGATTATATGTTTGGTTTATTATCATTAATAAGTAGAAATGTTCAGGGTAAACACCTATTAAAATATTGTCTTTTTTATGTATTATAATAGGTCTGTTCCACGAGCTACTGCTAGTAACTTTCAGTAATACTGTGTATATGTACATAAGTGCGTTCTACTAGCAAATTTTCAAGTAAATGAAACCATCTGAGAGAGCGTGGCATCCCTGTCAAAAAAATGTTACACAAACTTTACTCGTATATTTTATTCCAAGTAAAATTTATGTTGTTTTAGTTTGAATTTAAATTTTTGTATTGTTTATTTGAGGTAGTGTTTTAACCAGATTTTACACAAAGCTGTTCCATTAGAATCTGTGTAAAGAGCATAATTTAGCAATTTACTTGAGTAACGCTTTCAGTTTGTACTTTACTTGTGTTTTACTTGAGTTTTACTATGAGTAGCTCGTGGAACATGATTAGGTCCGCTCAATATCACTCTAGTCATACATAAACTAGTCATACATAAAAAGTACGTATTTACTATAAAAGTAATACGTACTTTTACTACAGTAATTGATTATGATAAAAGAGTCTTAAGTTTATCACTGCAGCATTTACTATAAGAATAGATGTAAAGCAGCTGATAGCATTAATGTTAAATTTATCACATTGGAAAAAAAATTGTTCTACTTATACTATTATTAATGTTGTTAAAAATTTGTGTAAACCTGAATAAAAACCTGTTAGTTGGTTTTTTACTTTTATTTTAAATAGTTATTTACTATATAATGTTGTCAACCTTTCAGTGTTTAATAACCAATAGAACGCCGGAATAACTCTGGCAAGCATTTTAACCACCATTTCCAACTCTATCACAAATCATAAATCAGTAATCTTAGCATCACAATAGATTGAATAGACGTTGCTGTTAATAATAATAAGCCTTCTTCAGTTGTTTTGCTCCACCCACTGACAGTGGCTAACGTACCTAATATTGGCTAAAAATGAGCTAGATTAATTAAACTAAATTGTCAAATTTAATTGAAGTGTACAATTTAAAGAATCCAACATCATATTTCACACTTTTTAAATTGTTTTCAAAACATTATTTCTAATAATGAAATAATTTTTTCGTTACGCTATGTTGTACCATTTAATATTTAATAGGATAAATACTACAATGAATAGCTAGATAATGGTTGCTGCATTATAAATACTACCTCCGCAGACATGTGACCTGGCAAAAGGAATTGCAAGCTGCCAGAGAACCATATTCACAGTAGTATTATATACTCTTATCGGGCATACGTTCAGTTGATCTAATATTATTTAAGTAATAGGCTATTAAAGCACCCCGACCTAAAAGATCTATTGTGCGCCTAAAGGCCTAACTAGGACAATTTTAGACTATTTATAAATCTTGTAATTGCTGTGGGCTTAATTTTACCTATTTGACTTGGGACTAATATCCCTTTTCCAAGGTAATCGAGTCTACGTCTTGCCTCCGCTGGGCAGTTATATAGAACATGTTCTGATGTACCTTTTCTTCATGACAGAGTCGACACACTTACCACATCTATAATCTTCATGTGGTAATTAAATCTACAGTGTCCTGTAAGAAGTTCAGTGTAGATTTTAATATCGTTTCTGCTAAGGCCAAGGATAGTTGATCTAATAACTTTACCATTAATGCAAACCTTAAAGGCACAAATAGCGTTACATTTGGTATAAGTTACCGATTAAATTTTTAGCAGCACTAAACTAAGATAAAGACAAAATATGGCATTCAATTGTTCAAAGTGAAAGTTAACTGCATATGTAAAGGATCATAAATTACATATAAATCTACAAGTAATAAATGAAATAAATCTAACAGATTAGTATCACTGCAATTAAAAGTAATAACACTCGTCTGTACGGCAATCTGATTAAAAATTTTTGTTTTCGGGGACTCATAGATTCAAACAGTGTCAATAACAGATAAGATTAATACTTTTAAATAAATTATCAATAGTTAGTTTGTTGCAAAAATTAGTTATAAAAATGGAGTCGAAAAACGGGAGTGAAACGAAATAGAGTAATAAAAACGAAGATATATCGGCCGACAATAAGAGACTTTGGCGTTAAAAAAATAAAGATGCATCACATGATGGTCTTAGATTAGCCATTAGAAAGAAAACGGTATGTAGTAAAATGAAAGAATATGGGGATGAATAACAATATAACTTTTAGAACAGTCATAGTTGCTAACAATTTTTACTCTCACTTTCTTCAAAATACTGGAACCAGCACCTCCTTTGACTGTTGCGCCCCACTCAGTGACAGCAGCTGAATCGTCATGATCTGGGCTTCAACGAGCCAATGGTTGAGCTAAATCCCCAAATTTAATAGAAGTATTCAATTTAATGACTGTGACATTATAATCCTTATTGTTTGAAGTAGATAAGTAATGAGAGTGCATTTGTATATCTATTATGCTAATAACGTAGGTATTTCCAACGATATTTTTTACACTATATTGTACTATATTGAGTATTAGTTGGATCAAAGCAATGAGCAGCTGTAATAAAAAATTATTCAATATAAATGCTGCCACCACATCTATGTTAACCTTTAAAACGAATTGACACGTGCTAGGAATCAAATTCAATGTAGTATTCTGACCACCTATAACACGCCTATCAGGCATAGGTACAAGCGGTCGAAGAACATTGCTATTAATGCAAGTCGCAAACGCATACAAAGCGATTAACATGCTAAACTTTTCCCGATGGAATTTTAAACAGCACTGAAGACAGATTAAATATATTATTTTTAAGTTGCTTTCATAAATTATAATAGGTATATGTACTATACATATACAGATATAAGTATAATCGAAAAGATTAGTATCAATGTAATTTAATGAGTTAAAGCACTCATTTTGAAGATAAGTTGATTAGATGGTTATGTTATTATAGTTTCCCTTATTTTTAAACAGTGCTAAATATAGATGTGAATTATTTTTTAATCAGTAGTTAAGGTGCTTAAAAACTAAAAGTAGCTTTTCTCTATCTCAATCATTCTACTTGAGGCGATGAGGCAAAGACCACCACAATTCCTTGTCAGCTATTGTATATACCTTGTATAGCTTGACTTGTCTCAAAATTATTAAGTATTTGTCACCCTTTTCTTCCAACTATCGTGATCAATACTTAAATCAGTTTTTATATGAAATAAAAAATAATTTACTGTTGATGTATTAAGGGCCAAAAAAAAAAACAAAATTTGCACTGCATATCAAGTGGCAGTAAGGCATAGCTTTAACTCTTTTCCCTCCTCTCACACCAAAATGATTTTAGTTGGAGTTGATCTTTCGTACGTAAAATAGTGAGTTGAAAGTTTCATACTTTCTGTATGTAGGGAGGGGTAGTACCACATTATACTTATCAGAAATATTTAGTACGCTTGCCATTGAGACCAAATGTTAGTTAATCTAAACATCCCCCCCTTCAAGTTCAACAATTGATGGATTATTCGAAATCCTATTCTGTATTCTGTATTTAAAGTTGCCCTCGACTATAAAATCGCCCTAAAAGTGTTCTCCGTAGTGTGTTTCGGTAGCACGGTTACTTTCAGGACAATAGCATTGCTTTTGATCCACGCCTAAAAGCTAAGAGAGTTAGGATCTCTGTACATAATTAGGAACCTTTTATTTTTTTCTGCAGTAGATGGAATAATCGAAAGTCACCTTGTGGAATTAGAAACCTAACCAAGCAGTAAAATAAATATGAGAGTTGAAAAATGTTGTATATTTGTTTCTTAAATACCCGTTATTTTTTTTTTAATAAAGTAAAAATAATTTGATACAATTTATAAGATCAATATTAATTTGGCCATATTTAATAACATTTTTAACTAAATTTATTGTTAACACATTCTCAGCTAATTAATCTCTATCGTTAAAGATATTCAACCTAAATTTTTAAAAATTACTATTTAATTTATTTATTCATTATTTCATGACTTTCAGAGACTTTTAATTTCGTTTCTTATTTATTTAAATAAAATTTACAGTACGGCATTTTCTTCAATCCATGACTTTAAGTTGGCAACATTGGTGTAGACACCAGGATAATTAGGACGAGCACAACCAACACCCCATGACACAATACCACTGAGAACATTGCCAGTAACTAATGGACCACCAGAATCACCTGAACAAGCATCTTTACCACCCTCTTTGACTCCAGCACAAATCATACGATCAGATATAGCATACCCTTCACTATAATTTTTCTTACAATCGTCGATGTTAACAATTTCTACTTTCACTGCCTGTAGAGCCATTGGAGAACTGCCACCTTCACGTAATGCGCCCCAACCAGTGCACACAGCTGTATCACCATCGGCTGGCCTTGAATCAGCCAATTTAATTGGTTGAACTATATCTTCGAATGAAATAGGTTCATCCAAAATAATGACGGCAACATCATAATCCATAACGCTTGAATCATATTGGGGATGCCTGATGAATGATTTAACACTGGCAATGTTTGTTGTACCGCCGATAGTTGTTACGCCGTATTGAATTTTATACCAACCAGCAGGATAACCACCACAATGAGCAGCTGTGACAATAGTTCTTTCATTTATAATACTACCTCCACAAGAATGTGAGTCAAACAGACGAATTGACACCTGCCAGGGATGTGAATTTATAGTAGTATCCTCACCACCTACAATACGCCCATCAGGCATAGGTACAGGCGGACGAAGAACTTTGCCATTAACGCAAGCCACAAAGGCCCAAAAAGCAATTAACATTCGAAACATTTCCCGATTGAATTTCAAACAACACTGAAGAAAAATTGACGAAATATGAACTTAAATAGACCAAAGAAAAATTCACTTGCTTTCATAAATTATAATACATATAATATACATATACAGATATAGGCAATAAATGAAACTTATCGAAGAGATTAATATCAGTGTAATTTAGAGTTAAAGCTTTCATTTTGAAGATAAGTTGATTAGATGGTTATGTTTTTTATAGTTTTGCTAGTTTTTAATTGACTCAGCCGCGATAGTTTTTCTAAAAAAGTTGATATGAAACTATAGTGCAGCTATCGTATTTTGATATTTAAAAAAAAACTATTCGCATATACCAAATATTGGTCTAGAATATCAACAACTATAGCTTCTTTGTTTTAATTCTCAAGATTCCGATAGTTTTTTTCGTAGGAAAATTTAATGTAAAAAGGAAACTTTGATTAGTTGGGTTTAAACAGTGCTAAATATAGATGAGAATTACTTTTTAATCAGTAGCTAAGCTCTGAACAAACTAAGAGTACTTTTTCCCTATCTCAACCATTCTACTTGAGGCGATGAGGCACAGGACCCCTCAAATCTTGCTCGCTCCGTCTTAAAAAAAACGGAGCATGTCGACTTCCTACACATTCGGCTCTATAGCTGATCTCCAGCGTAAAGTTTACCACTTAATTGTTCTGCAAGTTTGCAGCAACCCTACTCCCTTTACGTAATATTCTCGTATTATTCACATATTCCCCTTGAACCCTTACGTCCGTGCTTTTCTGGCTACGATAAATTTATCTTGCTGAAAACTAAGTGTTCATTACTGGATTAAGATTTCTACCAATACACCCTTGAGTTTTGCAGTTAATATGTCCTGCTGTTATCCTGTGGAATTTGATGTTTTCTACCCACAACACAAAACCGCATGCAGTAGCTTAAATATTATGCAAACTGTCCTTTCCAAATTTGGACTAGACTAGACTAGATTAGCGTAACACCATGAATGGTCAGATCGATAGCAGGAAGAAGCAAAACTGGCATTGTTTCCAACAACATTATCATTCTTTTAATCGGAATAGTACGAAGCCGTACTTTACTAGAAAAACTTCTTGAAATTAAATTGGTTTCTCCTACATAGCATTATCTAGTCTCAGAGTAGTCATTAGCCGTACGAGGCGGTATGCAGATCTTCGATCAGTCATCGAATAATCGGCGAATCTTATGAGGAATACGTAAATTAGTCAAAGAGAAGGGAGGGAGTCTATGAAAACCCCCAGCTAATAAAGAGTAAAAGTGCCCAGTTGCACTAACTCGGGAAAACTTCAACATAAGATATCGGTTTCTGTTTTCAGAGAAAAAAATAAAATGATGTAAAATAAATGGTGTATAGAATGACTTATAAATGACGTATAGAAAGTGTAAATTTTTGGAAAAATATGATATAAAAGAAGTTTATGTTAATTAATTAGTGTTAAAGCATGACAGATTTTAAACGAAAATAAATTAATAAATTAAATAAATTTTAAACGAATAAAATACTTAGGACTGAACTTAGTATTCAAGCTATAATTCTGGGCACAAATTCAATAAGCAGCAAGGAAGGCAGCACAGGTTACTGCATCGTTAAGTAGACTAATGGCTATATTGTTGGGTAGCTTTAGCGGTGCTGGTTATCAGTAACACATTACCACTAGATCCATCAGCCAAAGAAAGAAAAATAAGGTTGCAAATTAAACAGCAACAAAAACGACAACGTTAAATTATCTAGAAGTAAAGCAGTAAATCTAACAACTGTGGCAACAAAAATGGAATGCAGAAACAAAAGGAAAATGGAAAGCAATATTGATTCCAGATGTAGCGACATAGTCAGATAAGAAAACTGGTGAAGAAAATTATTATCTAACCCAATTCCTTTCTGGTTATGGATA